CTCCGCGGCTGCTGGGGCTGCCGGGCTCCTCTGACCATCCGGCTCCGGCTCCGCCGCGGGAGCTGCTCCGGCGGCCGCAGGGCTCGCTCGGGAAGCTGAGGCGGCGGAGGCTGGAGTAGGCGGAGAGGCGGGAGGAGGGCCTCGCGCCTCTGCCAGGCTTGCCGCGGGGCCCGCCTCCTCCGCGGCGTTCCTCGGCTCCTATTGGCTAGATCCTCAGTGTGGACGGAACCATGGCAGCCGACTGGGCGCCCGGGCTGTCATATCCCGCCCTGCCCACCCAGAGGTTTGGTTGAGACTGCAGGTGGCAGCGGAGGTGCCTCAGATTGCTGGCAGGGCCGGAGGAGACCTAAGCGCCACCGTGCGCCGGAAAGTAGAAACTGCATCTCAGGCGTCAGACACCTGCGCGCAGGTTCTTGGGCTCTGCGTCCTGCATCCCACACACCTGCCGGAGCCCCTCACTTCTCCACCACGCCAGGACCAAAAGCCAAGCACAGCAATTTCCCAAATTCCTCGGGCACGTGTGACAGTGAGGCGACTGTCACCAACGAGATTCCTTTTAAACCACCTAAAATACGCAGTCCCTGTCTCTACATCTTGCTGGAATTGTTTCAGAGCTCACAGCTACCCCTCAAAGAGGATCCAGCCAGAAAACTGTAAGAATATACAAAAACAAAGCATGGATTGGACGCTGAATCTTCTGCAGGAAGGGTCACAAGCATGGGTGCAGGCTTTTTAAAAAGCAAGAGATTTTTTTAATTGCCAAGAAAGAAAAATAAACACTCTGAATAGAACCAATGCCATATTAAAAGCAATGTGTTCCATTTTGAAAGGCCTAAACAGTATTGATCCCTCAGTGTGCATGAACCATGCTGTGGAAGGCGATAATTGTTAAGTTCTGCACCAGTTAACCAATTTTAAAATTCTACTGCATCCAGCCTGAGCTAGAGTGAGACCCCTTCTCTACTAAATATAGAAAAACTAGGCTCGGCACCTGTAGCTCAGCGGCTAAGCTGCCAGCCACATACACGAGAGCTGGACGGTTCGAATCCAGCCCGGGCATGCCAAACAACAATGACAACTTCAACTAAAAAATAGCCGAGCATTGTGGCGAGCGCCTGTGATCCCAGCTACCTGGGAGGCAGAGGCAAGAGAATTGCTTAAGCCTAAGAGTTGGAGGTTGCTGTGAATTGTGATGCCACAGCACCCTACGCAGGGTGACAGCTTGAGACTCTGCCTCAAAAAAAAGAAAAAAAAGGAAAGGAAAGAAAAACTAGCCAGGTATTGTAGCTACTTGGGAGGCTGAGGCAAGGGGATCACTTCAGCCCAAGAGTTTGAGGTTGCTGTGAGCTATGATGTCATAGCATTCTACTCAGAGCAACAGAGACTGTCTCTAATAATATATTTTACTGCATTTTTTGACCTAAACATGCAAAACTATCAGCACATAAGCACAATAAATATTAGTTACCTTTCGTCTTCTGCATTAATAAAGCCATCTTTGAAAATAATGCACAGCTTACTAACATATATAAAATTCTTTAACATGGAAAGGACTCTAAATCTATATTCCTGTGTACACTTTCTGTTTGCTAGATCCTTAGCATCTTTTGGTAGAAGGCATAAAACTTATTAAGCTGCTCTCATTTAACATATTTTTAGGCATCAGTAATGTGACAGCCTCCAGTAATATGCAGCCAACATTGAGGTGAGGGGAAAAAAACTCTCACTGGCCTCCATAATTGGCAAAAATTAGGATACTACAGTTTTTCACAAAGAAAAGTATTTGGCATAATGGTGTAAAAGGCTGTCCTTTCTTCTGAGATGGTTCCTTTTTTGTTTGATTGTTGTTTTTGTTGTTCTAAGACAGAGTCTCGTTCTGTTCCCTGAGCTAGAGTGTAGTGGCATCATCACAGCTCACTTCAACCTCAAACATCTGAGCTTCTGCCTGAGCTTCCCAAGTAGCTGGGACTGTAGGCCTGCACCATCATACCCCACTAACTTTTCTACTTTTTGTAGAGTTGGTGGTCTCACTATTGTTGCTCAGGCTGGTATTAAATTCCTAGCTTCAAGCAATCCTCTCTTCTTGGCCTCCCGAAGTGCTAGGATTATAGGCATGAGTCACCTTGTCCCACCCCATTCTTTTTATATCTTTGATGTTAAAAATGACCTTTCTTTGATAATAGTGATGGAAGACTATATTGGGATTTTTATTTATAAAATGGCTCTGACAAGGAAAAAGTTGTCAAACCTTTGTTGGTCCCCCAAATTAGTAACCATAAATTGCCCCAGTCCCAGCCAACAGCATCTACCTATATTTTCAAGCTAGAAAAAGGGAAGAATTCCCAAGCAGTTTGTGTCAGACAAGGGGTTATGGGGAATAGTGGAGTCTTAGAGAGGAGGATCATCAACTAAGGAAGCAATATTGAAATATCACTCATTTCATGAAAAATACTGATTAAAATCTTCTGCTGGCTCTTCAGCATCTTCCGTTATTGGCCAATCTTCATTGATATGTGGTAGATATTGTCAATAGAACCGCAGCTAATTCATTTCTCATGCCTTCTCAAAAAGTACACTCAACTCTTCGCCTTGTATCCATATTCTTGCAACCTCTGCATGTTTTTACTCTGTAAGACAGACACTTCCTATTATTCCAGTCCCCATTTAATTCACACTTCCTCTTATCTTCTCCGATTACTCCATCCTACCTCAAACATTTCCTTCCTTCTCCTAATTTGTTGTACGTAATAAAGCCTAACTATGTTAACCAATTACATATTGCCTTGGATTATCCTTACAACTACCCTGAATTTGGTTAAGTCGTTTAAGAGTGTGAGCCTTCAATAAATAGCAACTTTGAGCCAGACACTGGGTGCTTTATGTGTGCTATTTTTAATACTGAAATCAACCCTGTATAGTATTCTTTTTATAGACATAGAAATTTAAGATTTAGAAAATCCAACTTGTTCAGGGTCACAAAGCTACAATAACCAATATTGCTTAAAATAGAGGGCTTACAACATTATTCTGGTATACCTTAAGGGGGGGGTCAAGTTCTAGCTCTCCTCTGCAACCTAGGGCAAGTTGCCAATCCTCTCTGAGCCTATTTCCTCATCTGGAAAAAAAAGGGGGGTGGAATGGATATAGTTATAAACCCATAGTAAGGGTATCACAAAATAGGGCATGTTGCCTGAGCTCAGGAGTTTGAGACCAGCCTGAGCAAGAGCAAGACCCTGTCTCTAAAAATAGCCAGGTGCTGCGGTGGGCGCCTGTAGTCCCAGCTACTGGGGAAGCTGAGGCAAGAGAATCACCTACACCCAGAGCTGGAGGTTACTGTAAGCTGTGACACCACAGCACTCTACTGAGGACGATAAAATGAGACTCTGTCTCAAAAAAAAAAAAAAAAAAAAAAAAAAAGAAAGAAAGAAAAAAAATAGGGCATGTAAGCATTTAGCTATATATGCTTAATACAGGTTAGCTGGCATCCCTGGTCACAGGAGCTGGGGTTTTTACATAGATTTGACCTCCAAACCTATATTCTTTACACTAATCCATAATGCCTCAATGCAGTCTTCTGTATCCTATTCCCAATTATGCACAGAAAGAGTGCTGAGAACCACAGTGGATTCACTGAGAACCTCAGTGGCCAGAGATTAAGTGGAACATACTTAATATTTTTGTTGACCATACACACACACACAAATACTCCTATAAATTTCATGCATTTTAAAGTTAAGAAAACATTTAAATGATCTAAACCAGCATAAGCTTACTCTCATGAGAGTAAGAAAGACACATACTCACCAACTGATTGACAAGGACATAGAAAATTAACAGGAGGGGAATAAGAAACCAACCTTCCTCACCCATATATAGGGTATCTGGTTGACATCATGCTGGGGGACTTTCTAAGGGTTTCTTTTTGGTGCTTTTTTATTACTGTATATTTTGTCCACATCACTGCACACTGTAAACATTCAGCAAAAAAAAAAAAGAGTTGTGATGATCTTAGGAAGCATAGTTTTGTGGAATGGATCCAAGTTATCACCATAAACATTACCTTTAAAGTGAAACACTTAGCTCAAGTCAAATGCAAAACAAAAAGTTTCAGGTTTGTTTACCAGTCAAGCAACCAAGTGAAGTAATAAGCATGTTTAATTTAAATTATGTTATATAAAATGCTAACTTATTGTGAGGATATACTACAGACTATGTATTAGGTAAAATTATTTTTTACAAACTTCCTATAATCTTTTTATTAATTTACACTGAAGGAATATAGCACCTTTCATCCAAAGAACTTAAGGTGCTTTACAAACATCAGCATTAAAAAACATTTACATTTAAAAATCTGGATTCTTGCTGTTAAATCTCTTATACTCCAGATACACAATTTTCTGGAAGCTGACAGAAAACAATCCTATTACTGACAAGAGGCTCAGAAAGAATCCTGATTTGTTTTCACAATACAGGCATTTTCCAAAACCTGGTGTGGGACTTAACAGAGCAAAAATCTTATTAATCTTATCTAAGATTACACACAAGTCTTAATGCAATGAACAATATTTCAAAACTTTTTTCAAAAGGAAAACCCAGGGCTTAAGACATCAAAATCTTCCAACAGTTCTAGAAATCCAGATGAACAAGAGCTGATGCAAGTTGCATATGAGATCTCCTCTCAATCCAGGCTCTTTAGGATCACACCCAAATGAACACATTTTAAGTAG